TGCTGGCACGAAGCGCTCGGTGCTGGCGGACTGACGGCCAGATGACGTCGCAGGATATTATATCAGCAGCCTTGGCCGACGTGAGTAATGAAACAAGGGAACACTAGATCCAAGCAGAGTTCCTCGGGGGTCGCCCGTGCGTGGACTGCACCTTTGTACTAACTGTAAGATGTGCGACAGTGCATTTTGCGAGTGTACTCGAGTCTAATCTGTTTCGGGCTTTTTATGGTGGACCCTTGGTCTGCTGGTGGCGACCGGGCAGCTTCATGGCGATTTCGACAAAGCCGCCTTGGATGCAAAATTTGTTCCACGTCTGCACCATCGCGGCTGTATAGTACTATCATACGATAAGACTATGAAGAAAGACTATGCAATGGCGTCGTACCATCTTCTTCTTCGTCCATGCTGGGACGTTGGCCCACACGTTGTAGAACGAAATGTCGACGTCGCCCGAGTCGATGCGAATGACAAAGTTGCCATCCTCCGTGTACGCGTGCGACGGCTTGTAGACACCGATCGCACGATTGACGCCGTCTGGAATGTCGAGTGCAGTCCAGAGATGGTCTTCGCCCGCCGTAAAGTTGCGCGTCGCCGCGTTGAACTCGTCGCTCATGACGAGGTCCCACGATCCGCCGCGCGAGGTCGCCTTGGTGTAGACCTCCTTGGGCGTGTCAACGTCGACCCACGTCGGGATGCCCGACTTGGTCGGCTGCGTGTTGTCGCCAATGTCGAGGCCGTGGACCGCCGCCACGAGCGCCAGCACTGGTACCCCCGCAGCAAGCATGTACACGTTCGCAACGTGTGACGATGAAAAGAAGAAAAGTGCAATGTCGGAAAAGCGCGCCAGACGTTTTGCGGACCGTGCGCTTTTCCGTGGGAGCATCCGAAACAGGTGCGTTTTGACGGCTTTTAGGTGCGCTTATGACAGAAAGGCCACGCGACTTATTGAAGATGGTGCGCTTTGGATCAGGACGAGGACATGTGCAATGCGTGTAACACTGCACCTCACGCCTCTACATGGTCCACAGAGGGCTCTTGTCAACCGAGGAGTGTCCCAGAAGGAGTATCCTGCGTCTTTGCACTTTGCCGGCGTCGTTCATCTTCCACACGATAGCTGACCGACAGCACACCTCCCACCCACAGGCCATTCATTACACTATAGACGACGACGGTCCGTACGGATCGCAGAAAGCGCCGTAGCTAAGCTTTGGTCAAGCGCATACGTATCGTGAGCTTGGGAGCACGAATGCTGCGTGGTGGTGAGGGCGACTACGTTGCACCACAGTCCATTTGATAGCCAGTTGAATCGCTACCAAGAGCCTTGATCTATGCTCCAGCCGGCGTTGAGCACTCGGAGCACTCATAGTAGAGCAGGTATCAGATCGTATTTTCCATTCTAGGCTGTGCATATTGCACAGTACGAGCAGAGCGTAGAGCCCAACGACGTCTCTTGACGCGGACGAAGGTCAAACTGCCATCACCACCTCAAGACGGAGCGAGATGATCAAGTCTACTCGTTCTGTGGAGAGGTAGGATTACTGTAGATTAGCGTTAAGCGACGACCGCGATGGTGCTAGATGGCGGCGCGGCTGTTGCGGGACTCTTCGCGTTGTGCTTTGGCGAAGATGGCCATTTGCTTGTTTAGCGTCGTGTCGCCGCGCCGCTTGCGGCGAATGATAAAGGCCCCCAGAGACGCCACGACGACGAACGCCACGAGGCCCACCGCGAGCGACACGGACGGGCCATACGACGAGGATCCGCCAATGCTGTACTTGGTGCACCGGGGTCCGGTCCACGCCGTCACGCACGAGCAGCGTCGGTCCACGCATCTGCCTGTGAAGCTTGTAACGACCGTGCAGTCGTCGTCGCTGTTGCACATGGCGCCGCCCGCGACCTCGATGTCCATGTTGAGCGGGTCCGTGTAGTTGGAGATGTGCGCCTTGATAAACTCTTTGGTCGGGTGGCTTGCAGGATCACAGCCGTAGCTCATCTTGGAGC